CTTTGTAAGTAGTTTTTTTTTGATCTTATATTTAAAAAAAAAACTTTTTTAATAGTAAGGGACATTTGAATTATGTTTTTGCCTTTAATTTAAGGACTCATCTTTAGTTGTAGTACCTTTATATAATTAGGTATTTATTTATTTTTAGATAACTAAATGTTATTTAAAGCAATAATATAGATTTTTGAATTTCTTTTTTTCTATATTTCTTGAATGGTGTCAAAAGAGTATAGGGTTTGAATCTCTTTTGAGAATCTTGTGTTAAACTCTTCTTAATAAAGAGAGATATATGTTATGTTATTAATATTGTACCTTGTTTCACAAGTGAAAATATAATAAATATAATAAAATATAATAATTATTTGTTTTTTTCAAAAAAAAAAAAAAACATATATTTTTTTTGCTGGTCAAAACATAAGTTATATAATATAACTGTTTTATTAACAAGAGTAATATATGGTTTATTTTAAAATTTAGCCAAAAAAATTATAACTACAATAAAAAAACAAAAAAAAGGCAATAAAAAAGAAATTTATATAAAATATCAATATAATCAATTGTAACAAAATTTACTTGCATTATATGTACTTGAAAATTTAATAAAAAAAAATTAAGAAAAAAATAAGTCAAATTTTATTAAATAAAATAAATTATATTGATAAATATTTTAATTTAAAAGAAAATAATTTTAGCTGACAATAAATTTTTATATTTTATTACATATATAATAAATTAATTAATATTGTTTAAATTTATTTTTTATTTTTAAAAATTATAATTTATATTAATTATAATTATGTAAATAATTAATTGAAAATATAATGGCTTAAATTGATATATATAAATTTAAATTTAAAAAAATTAAATTAAACAATCTTTAATTACAATAATTAAAAATTTAAATTTAAAATAAAATAATTTAATAAAAACTATATTTATATAAATCAAATTGATTTCAGATCAGTTTATAAAAAATTAAAACCAATAGTTTTCAAATTGGATTGGTTTAAAAAAAATAAATCAGATCAATTTCAGTTTTAGTTAAAATTGATTCAAACCAAACTATTGTAATTCCTAACTACAAGTAATAAAAAAAATAAGAAAATTTAATTAGTATAAATTGAATTAATGTTTATAATAAACCTTTTATAATAAATAGCCAAGACTGGATTTAATAGATTAAATAATTTAAACTAGTAATAGGATTTTTACCTTTTATGTAAACCCATTTACTCAATCAAAAAATTATTAATTAGATATGATTAATAATTAACTGTGTTAATAAAAAGAAAATTTTTTATACGCAGTATATACTGTGCTTATACCACGAATTACGTAATGAAAATCTCATTATCTCTTGTATTAATATCTTGGCCATCTTGGAAATCTGATTGCCACAAAAATCCTAAGCGCTTGTCGAACTTGTCGCGTTATAAATAGTTACGGTAAATTGTATCACCTGAAAAGAAATATAAATGCAGTAAACCCCATCTGTTTTATCATAAAAATTAGAACAAAATGAATGTTATGCAATTAGCGAAAAAGTTTCCCCAGTTTTCACAACAAGAAATTTTCGATCTTACAGCACAATTCAAGTAAAATGGTTTCAAACAAATTTTGTCAAATTTTCAACGCAAATAATTGCTAACTTCAATTCATACGATCCATGCTTTGATTAGTAAAATAGATATTGACGGAAACGGTGCACTTGAACAGAAAGAGGTTGTTAAAGCTTTACAAGAATCGGGAGAGAATAAATCCTATGATGAGATTCGTGCGACATTAAAAGAAATCGACTTGAGTTCTACGGGCAAAGTCGAAATAGAAGAGTTTGTGGAGGTAAGTATCAAGATTCATTGCATTCAATATTTTATGCATATCGTGTATTCATATTAATTTTTATAAATTAGCTTATAGCAAAGCTTAGGGAAGGACGACACAAGAAAGCTTTTGTAGTCAATAAGCATAAAATTACTGTTCATGGCTCTAGTACAAATATTTCTCACACTATTAACGAAGATGAAAGGACTGAATTCACAAGGCACATAAATCAAGCATTGACCGGTGACTCTATTGTCAAGGATAAAATTCCAGTTGATACGAATACCATGCAACTGTTTGATGAATGCAAAGGTAGATAGATCTCTTTATTGTTTTAATATATTCATTGTAATAATAGTTTTTCTCTTCAGACGGTTTAATCCTTGCAAAATTAATCAATGATTCTGTACCGGATACAATCGACGAGAGAGTTCTCAATGTCCCAGTTCGAGGAAAGACGATCAATAAGTTTCAAATGACCGAAAATAACAACCTTGTCATTTTCTCTGCAAAAGGGATTGGTTGCAACGTTGTTAACATTGGATCGGCAGACTTAATTGAAGGCCGAGAACATTTGATCCTTGGTCTAATTTGGCAAATTATTAAAATTGGATTGTTAAACAAAATTGACATTAAACTACATCCAGAGTTGTATCGTCTTCTTGAAGAAGATGAAACACTTGAGCAGTTTTTGAAGTTGCCACCCGACCAAATTTTACTGAGATGGTTTAATTATCATCTAAAGGCAGCCAAGTGGAATCGCAGGTATTAATTTAAAGAAACGTATTCAGACTGCTTAGTAATCAACATTGTTATAATATTTTAATTACTTTAACTGTAGAGTCGCGAATTTCAGCAAAGATGTTTGCGATGGTGAAAATTATACTGTTCTTCTTAACCAGCTTTCTCCTGAACTCTGTTCACGCGATCCATTAAAAGAACTCGACCTCCTCGAACGTGCCGAAAAGGTATGATAATTAGGAACGAAGTTATCTATCCTTCACAATATTTATCAATTTATTCGAAATTAGGTTCTCCAAAATGCTGAGAAATTAGGTTGTCGCAAATATTTGACTCCGAAGGCGCTTGTTGGAGGGAATCCAAAATTAAATTTGGCATTTGTCGCTCATCTGTTCAATACACATCCGTGTCTTGAACCACTTGACGAAGAAGAAAAAGCTGAACTCGAAGAATTCGATGATTCCGATGATAGGGAAGCAAGAGGTACAGTGGTTTTACTGTTTCGAAACGTAAATGTCAATTTTAAAGAAACGTACTTGAAACCAATAATATGTTTTGCTTATTTCAATAAAGTGTTCACTTTATGGTTGAATAGCTTGGACGTTACACCTGCTGTCAATAGTTTGTATGAGGATTTGAAGGTTCGAATCTTTCGGTATTTAAATTGGAAGAGTTTTACTCTTCTTTATACTGATATTATTTAATTTAACTGTTTAGGATGGTCAAATTCTTCTACAAGCTTTCGAAAAAATCAAGCCTGGTATAGTAGACTGGAAAAAAGTAAACAGGTCTGCAAACCTATCAAGATTTAAGCAAGTGGAAAATACGAATTACGCCATTTTGTTAGGAAAACAGTTGCGATTTACGCTTGTTAACATTCAAGGTGCTGATATTTGTGATGGCACAAAGACCTTGACTCTTGGACTTGTATGGCAAATGATGCGTATGAATATAATTAAGACACTTACGAGTTTGTCTAAGGGAGGCCGTGAAGTTAACGATGATGATTTAATAAGATGGGCAAATGACACAGTGAGTCGTGGTGGTAAATCAACAAAGATGAGAAACTTTAAAGACCCATCTTTGAGGAATGGTATATTTCTTATCGATTTGCTAAACGGAATTAGACCTGGCGTAGTGGATTATAGTCTAGTAACAAAGGGAATATCAGGTATATCTATTAATATTCTTCTGATGATAAGCACGATCATTAATGTAGTATTGAATTTGTAGATGATGATGCTACGCTCAATGCACGGTATGCGATATCCATTGCTCGAAAAATTGGTGCAACCATTTTTCTATTACCAGAAGATATAGTTGAAGTTCGGCCTCGATTGGTATGCTCAAATCTTTATCTTATTTCTATTTTTATTATCACGGAAAATATTAACTTTACTTTTTTATCTTTTATGCAGATCCTGACTTTCATTGGGAGTTTAATGGCGTTGGACAAAGCAGCTAATCGATAGTTTTAATAAATTGTTTTGGATATTTATATTTATTGGCTGGCTGTCTGTTTCACGTTTTTGTTATATTATTATTATTTTTTTTTGTTGTGTGATAGAATCAATGCTTTAGCCTTAAGTAATTACGATGTTTATGAGATATCATATTCTGCATATTCTGTATATTTAAACACGTCCTTTTTAATAAAGTGTTCATCTCATTTAATTCACACGAAACCCTTTCGTTTATCTAAAATTGGTGCCTTCACTTATTCGAGGATTAACTTTTCGTAAATTAGATTAGACTCAGAAAAAAAAATTATTTTTGGAATTCGATAAAAAAATTATATTTAAATAAAATTAATATACAGTAGGAGACAAAAAAAATGCCTAAAATTATATTTTTCTTTTTATTAATAATTTAATAATTAATTAATTAATTAAGATAATATATTTAAAGATACAAAGAATAGAAATATAAAAAAGGATTTTTTAAATATATTAAAATAATATTATTAAAAAAAATAGCAAATTAAAATTTTAATTTTATTAAAATTATTTCAATATATAAATTAATTAATTATAAGTAAGGATGGGTTCCTAAACTATTTAGCATATAAAATTTTGCAGATCAATTATGTCCCTTTTGAAGGAACATAATTATTTATTCATTACTTTAATAGGGACATAATTCAAAAAACATTTGGATAAAGTGTCCTAAATTGCAAAAAACCTTTGTAGGTAGTTTTTTTTGACCTTATATTTAAAAAAAACTTTTTTAATAGTGAGGGACATTTGAATTATGTCCTCACCTTTAATTTAGGAACCCATCTTTAATTATAAGTTAATAAAATATTTTTTTAAAAAATTCTCTTTTAGTTTAATTTAAGTCATCTACTTTTAAACTCTTTTTTGTATATAACTTTTTTCTTAAAAATTTCTTTTTTTAGTAATTATCTTTCAAAATTAAAGAAACAAATATTTTTTTTACTTTTTAACATCTCAAAATTCTTCATTAGTATAATACCTGTAACTATTGTTAACTGCATTGATATTGATTATCATATCACTCTAGATATTGTAAAGCATAACTTTTTTACTGAAAGTGCTTATTTTTTTGCTATTCCATTATTGAAACTTTACCAAATTACCACAAAGCTGCTATCAAATAGTTACAGTATTCATGAGAAAATTACTTCAATTTAGTTATGGCAGTAGTAACTACTATATTTTACTATTAAATCTCTCCAATTAAGTAGCAATTAAGAAATTTTGAATTCTCTACTAAGTTGTTATCAAATTATTATAAGATTAATAATTTGATTATAATTATATATCAATTTATTTGTGGAATTGTCTTATAATAACTGGACAAACAATATAATTATAATTAAGTAGCAATATAGTTGTGAATTTATTAAAATTAAATATTGATGTAATTACAAATTTATTGTGATTAAGCTACAATTATATAGTAATATATTTACAAGGTTATTACAATTAAATAGTAATGTAATTTTAATTGAACAATGAAGTAGTTATTATTATATATATTATATAGTGCTAGTCATAAATAATAAGAATTACAGTTGAGCTTAAATATTTATAAATATTTATTTATTTAACTTGTAACTCAAAGGAAAGTAAATACATTAATTAATAAAAAAAAACTTATATACATCAATGATCAATTTTTTTTCCTTTTTTTCAATTACTTCATCTAATCTTGTGATTATGTTGTTTATCAAATTAAAACACATATCTATAAAAATAAGTTTTCACTCTTTTTTAATTATTTCATATCAACACTCAATTAATATCTTTTTTTTTTTTCATGATATTATTGATCTTTTTTTTTACTCTTTTCTTCATAATAATCTACAGATTCTTAATAGGATTGAGATCTGGGTTATATAAAGGCCAGTTAAGAATCTTCAGAGATTGGCGACAAAGAAGCATATCTGTTTTCTTGACCATGTGCTTTGGATTATTATCCTGTTGGAAAATCCATTATCTTGACATTATTCTTGTAACATTTTCAAAGAGATGATTGATCAAAATTTCATAATAAAGCTGGTCATTCATATTTTGTGTAAACATATGAAAGCCGATAGTTTCTTATACTGAAAATATGCCCCACACATAAACTTTGACTGGATGTTTCAGAACTCTTTTTTGTGGAATTTCTTTACCAACCTTATAAAATGCTGTCATAATATTTCGAAATATTTGAAATGTCATTTTATTCGAAAAAACGATTGTTTTTTAATTTTGCTTGGCATGGACAAAAGCCCAATTTATACGGTATTCGCACTGCTTCAAAGTGAGCATAGGCATCTTTTTTGGATAACATAAGTAATATCCAAGCTTATTAAGCTTATGGTTTATAGTCTGGGGTGATATTTTTAACTTGGAGTTAAGTGTAGTGCCGATTTCTTTACAGGTGAGATATTGTTTATTTTGGATTATTCTTCTGAGTACATAACATTTTTTGGAAGTTAAAATTCTTGGGTGCCTAAGATGGGGAAGGGGATTTAAGAGTTTTTTTTTTTTAATTTTGCGATATACTTATATGTAGTAGAAAGAGGAACACCAGTTAGTTTGGTCAAAGATGGCATGTTATGAATGCCATGTCTCCAAGCATCTTTTACATTCAATTGTTGATTAGAAAGTTGTGGTTTTACCATTTTATAATTAACATTTATATTAAATATAATAGTAAACAGGTTTTTTTTAAGGTTTTTTTTTTTTTTGTCACGTCTATAAATAAAGAATGTATAAGGCGAATTTTTATTGGCCATTATTATACAAAATATTACTATATAGGATCTATGTCATAATTTATTCTTATTATTTATGATGTGCACTGTATATATATTAAATTGCATTAAACAAACAATTATTTTTTAAATAATACATATTTAATAAATAATGATTATCAATATACATACTTTTCAAATATACAATTGTAAACAAAATTAATCCTATTCATCTAGTCAACTACTATTAACAAATAAATCCATCACCAACTTCTATTTTTTACAAATTGAATTTTATAAAT